ATGAGAATGTATTAAAATGTATCAAAATGTATGAGAATGTATTCCATTGTCTTAAAACGTATAATAATGTATTAAAATGTATGAGAATGTATCAAAATGTATGGGAATGTATGACGGAGTGGATATGCTTTTGCCACTAACTCACTCACTTCATTAAAGCGTCTCCTTTATCGGTATATTTCTCATATCTACACTTTATTACGCCTTCCTACTGCTTCTTCTCCTTCCCCTTCTCCTCCTTCCCCTCTTCCTGACCACCTCCTCTATTTCTACGCCATTTACCCCTCTCTTCCTCCCCCCCCCCTCCTTCCCTCCCACTACAACCATCACCTACCAACCCTTCCACCACCCACCTACCACAACTACCACCATCAACAGAGAAAATTGGCCCTGAGATATAAGTAAAAGCAACATTCTCTCTCTATGAATATTTGTCGAGTTTAAGCCACGCTAAGTCATATAGCAATCTAGATCAACAGCCTCTCTCTCTCTCTCTCTACCTCTACCTCTACCTCTCTCTCTCTCTACCTCTCTCTCTCTACCTCTCTCTCTCTCTCTACTCCCCCCCCCCACCGTACATTAACCCCTTCTAAATTAATCGAATCACCAACACTCCCCCTTCTATAATTAATTACCCCTTGTTATAATTACCTTTAAATCACCTCATATACGCTCCCCTTTCCCCACCCACCCTATATAACTACCTAATTACCACCTATATCTAACTACCCTGTTGTTTCACCCCTTAATTAACTACGATTGGCTTATTGATCAATGTTTATTATGGCCGCTAATTAGGCCATAACTTTCCTCACTTGGGGTGGGGAGAGGGGAGGGGAGAGAGGGAGAGGGGGGAGGGGAGAGAGGGGGGAGGGGAGAGAAGGGGAGGGAAGGGAGAGGGAAAGGGGGTGTTCTATATGTGGTGTAGAGTCCCGCGTCATTTACACACACACACACACACACACACACACACACACACACACACACACACACACACACACACACACACACACACACACACACACACACACACACACACACATCTTGGTCTCCAGGACCTAATTAAATACATGAGTTAAATTCCCCCTTGGTTGACTTACTGCTTCCACTCCTCCTCCTCGTCCTCCTCGTCTCCCTTTTTGACTCTTATCATCTTTTCTTTCCTATCCTTCAGAGAGAGAAAGAGAAGGATAATGAAAGGTATACAAACACACAAAGAAACAGACAGAGAGACAGGCAGACAGAGAGAGAGAGACAGACAGACAGAAAATTCAAGACTTGCCTCCCAGAAACTGCCGAGATAATATCCACTTTACCCTCCCCCTCCCTCTCTCTCTCTCCCTCCTCCCTCTTTACTTTCCTCTCCCATCCCCTTTCTTAACTTCTTGACCCCTTTCTCCTCTCCCCTTCAGCCTCCCTCTCACCTCCTCTCCCCTTCAGCCACCCTCTCACCCCCTCTCCCCCCTCAGCCTCCCTCTCACCTCCTCTCCCCTCAACCTCCCTCTCACCTCCTCTCCCCCTCAGCCTCCCTCTCACCCCGTCTCCCCAGGACCCCTCACTCAGGTCCCGACAATTTCTCCAATTGGCTTCTGTCATGGTGGTGTTCTTCTCTCCCTCATTGCGTCTTTACCTCTCCTCATTCCTCCTTCGCTTGTCTCCCTGGCGTAATTCATCCAGGGTTCTGACTGACGTTAACTGAGGGAGGGGGAGGAGGAGGAGAGGAGGTAGAGATAGAGAGGAGGATAAGGTGGGGAAGAGGAAAAGCGAAGGAGAGGAAGAGAGAGAAGGAGGAGAGGAAGAAGAGGGAGACAGTGGTGGAAATGATAGGAGAAACAAAGAGAGAGAGAGAGAGAGAGAGAGAGAGAGAGAGAGAGAGAGAGAGAGAGAGAGAGAGAGTGAGTGAGTTTTATTCCTCACCTACATACATTCTCTCCCCCACACACAGGTAGACACACAATTATGTCTGCCAGGTCTGTTTATGACACCTGAGGAAAATGAAAAACAAAACAAAAACAAAACAACAAAAAATCGTAACAAAAACACAAATGTTCAGTTCGGGATTTTGTTTCCAATTACTTTTTTCTTTGTATTTCTTTTTTTTTTTAGTAAACTTTTCGTGTTCTGGGGATTTTTTTTCTATGTATACTTTTATGTAGAGGGAAAGTTTATTCCGATTTATTTATTTATTTTTATTTATTAATTATATTTTCTCTTCTCTTCCCCCTTATTTTCTTTTTTTGGGGGGGCCCTTTCCACCTCCCCTTCCTACCCTTCCCTCCCCCCTTGCTCTTTCCCCTCCCCTATCCTCTCCCAACCAACCTATCCACTTCTTCCTTCCCTCCCCCCTTTCCCTCACCCCCCCCCTCCCAGCTGACAGGTCGAGACGTCTCACTGCCTATGAGGGAAAAATCTGCGGAAAGCAACACAATGGTAGAGAAGGAGGAGAGGGAGGGGGGAGGGGGGGAAGCTGGTGGAAGAGGAGGAGAAGGAGGGAAGGGGGGGGAAGAGGAGCAGGTGGAGGAAGAGGAGGAAGAGGCGGTGGAGGAGGAGGAAGGTGGCGCTGTTTGGTTGTCAGAGTGGTGAAGGCTCCCAGCAGCACACTCACCTTAACACCCACGGCACTGCGCAAAACACCTCGGCACTCCTTGGAACTACCTACAACACCCTTGGACTTCATGGCACCTTCTGGCACCCTCCCTGGACTTTATGGCACCTAATTTCACTTGACTAGGACACCATGGCACCTCTTGGCACTCCCATGACACCCGCCCCGTCGTATCAGTTAGCTCGTCAGGTCGTCAAGTTACCACCCCCCCCCTGTGTGTATACAGAGGAGAGCCCACCTGACACTCTCCCTCACCCCTTGTGTCTCTCCCTTTATTATCATATTTATTCTCTTTTGTCTCTTCCTTTATGTTCTTCCTGTTTCATATACGTCTTCTTTTTCTTTTCTTTCTTCTCTTTATCTTATTCCTTTCTTTTCTCCCTTCTTCCATTTCTCTTTTTATGGCTTTTCTTCTTATATTCTCTCTATTCCCCTCTATTCTCTACCTCTATTTTATATCTATCTTCACTTCCTTTCATTCTTCTCTGTTATCACATTTTTCTCCTATTCTCTCCCTCTCCTTTATGGCTTTTTCCCATTCTTATTATTCACTTTATCACACATTTCCCCTATGGCCTCTTTCTTCATCCATTTCGGCCTATTCTTCCATTTATCATCTAGTTTATCACATTCTCTCATTCTCCTTCTTCCTCTGGTATTCTCCCTACGTTCATATCACGATTTTTTCCCCATTTCCCTTATTCCTCATTTTATCACGTATCTCCTGTTCCCATCCTCCTCCCTGTCTCTTGTTTAACCTTTCTTCTTATTTCTCTTGTTTATCAGCATTTTCTTTCTCCCCTGTTTTAGATCATGTACTGGGTATTGTGCAACCAGGCAAGCAATGCACTCAATACACGCTCATAATACACTCATTAGACACTCAAACAATGACTTCAACACTCAAAAAAATGCACTTAAATCACACTCAAACAGTACACTCAAGTAATGCACCGACAGACAGACAGACAGACAGGAATCAAGTATATATGCTCCCACCTTCCCCTGAGAGCCAAGTGGGGCATAACAAAAGGTGTAAAAGCAATTTGTGTCTTATATTTCCGCGAGAGAGAGAGAGAGAGAGAGAGAGAGAGAGAGAGAGAGAGAGAGAGAGAGAGAGAGAGAGAGAGAGAGAGAGAGAGAGAGAGAGAGAGAGAGAGAGAGAGAGAGAGAATTTGCAGTCTGTTTGAAAAGTGAAAAAAAGAACGAACAACAACAACAACAACAACAAAACAAGAACAACACTATATTGCTCACTTATAAACAAACACACAAACAACAACAACAATCAGTGTTTTATGTTTGGAAGCCAAGTAAAAAAATAAAAAAAAAACAAGAAAAAAAAAACAAGGAAAACCAAGACAATATGTTTCTCTCAGTCTGTTGGTGTTTCATTGTTTGGCGGAGGGGCGGAACAACGCCTCCCGGAGCAGGAGGAAGAGGAGGAGGGAGGAAGAGGGAGGAAGAGGAAGAGGGAGGAAGAGGGAGGAGGGAGGAAGAGGAGGAGGAAGAGGAGGAGGAGGAGAAAATAAGAGAGAGAAGTCAGGTGGAGAAGAGATAGCAGAGAGGAGGAAGAGAGAGGAGGAGGAGACAGAAGAAGAGGAAAGAGGAGGAAGAGATTGTGTCCTGCTTGACTGTTTGCGTGCATTACTTGAGTGTGTGTGTGTGTGTAATTGGTCAGGTTTTCTTTCTCAATCTGCTTACCAATCCATCCATCCACCGACCTATCTATCTATCTATCTATCTATCTATCTATCTATCTATCTATCTATCCCGGGCCGACAAGAAGGGAAGGGAAAAGGAAAGGAAAGGGGGGGGGAGTAGACACGACGACAGAACCGGAGTTAACACAGTTGAGGCGGCCATTATCAGTGTCAACAAAGGCAGTCACGTGTCTCTGGTAATCTGTTGAATCAGCTGAGGGGGGTGGGGGAAGGGGGAAGGGGGGAAGGGGGTGGGGGAGGAGGGAGGAGAGAAGGGAAGGGAAGGGATAGGGAGAAAAGGAGAGAGAGAATACAAATAATAATAATCTCACACCTCCCCCTCATCCTCTCTCCCCCTCCCCTCACACTAACCCCTTATTCTCAGCCCCATACTAACCCCCACCCACATACCATTAAGGGGTTAAGTGACGCCCCATTAACCCCTAGGGACGGTCTCTCCTCCTTATCATTAGTCACTTGTTGTGAATGGTGGTTGTGTATGGTGGCTGTGAATGGTGGTAGGTGTTGTAAATGGTGGTAGGTGTTGTGAATGGTGGTTGGTGTGGGGAGGGGAGGGGTTGAAGACTCACTCTCTTAGACCTATAACCCCTCAGCCCTCTAAGCCCCCAGCCCTTAGACTCCTATCATCAGTCCTGTAGCCCCTAGCCCTTATTCCCTATTCCATTTTCTAGCCCCCAGACCTGAACCCCCAACCCACAGTCCTCAGCCCCCAGCCAATAGTCCTCAGCCCCAAGCCCACAGTCCTCAGCCCCCACCACAGTCCTCAGCCCCCACCACAGTCCTCAACCCCCACCACAGTCCTCAGCCCCCAGCCCCCAACACAGTCCTCAGCCCCAGCCTTTAATCCCACAATTCCAGCCCCCAGTTCCCTCAGCCCAAGGAGGGGATCAAGGGTGGACGCGTGTCTGGGGAGGAACACAGGAAACCAATCTCAGGCTTCTTTATAATTTGAGGAGGAGGAGAAGAGGAGAAGAGAAGAGAAGAGAAGAGGAAGAGGGAGGAAGATGTGACAGAAAAGATTCCTCTTATACCCAATCTGCGTTTAAGGCAGATGATGGTGGAGGAAGAGGAGGGGGAGAAGTGGGGGAGGAGGGGGGGAGAGTGTAGGGGAAGGGGCGAGGATGTGGGCAGGAAGGGAAGAAGAAGGGAGGGGGAGGTGGGGATGGGGGTGAGGGTAGGGGTGAGGGGAAGGGGGTAATGTTATTTTGGTTATGTTTATATTTGCAACAGTAATAACGCAAACCTAACCTAACCTAACCTAACCAAATTTAAACTAACTTAACATATCTAATTCCTCTTGCTACATGATAATTGTCCCAGCCACATGACAAATTCCCCTGCCATGACATGATACACAACACAGCTTACCTTTTAGATCATGACGGTCACCTGTTGACAATACTCTACCCTGTGTTCCTCCTTGTGTGTTTCCGCTTACCTGGGGGAGAAAAAACGCATTAAAACAAGGAAATAAAACACACGATAAAACAAGATAAAAAAACACACACATACACTCTATAAAACAAGGAAATATAACACACACACACACACGATAAAACACGTAATTTACTTCAGCTTCCTCACTACTAATTAACTCACCCAAAACAGTTCTTAGTACCACACAACATAAGGAACTACAATTAGGACCAAAAAACAGACTCATTATTAATTGCCTAGAAAAACCTATCACGAACTACTGCACATAAAATAATTCCTAACATCAGTTGACTATCAGCGGGTCAAGGTGTGGGATAAACTACCCAATTATGTCAAATATAATAGAACTGTAACTACCACGAAGACTCCCTTTACTTTAACTAAGCAAAACAATGATAAACAAGCAGTGGAATAAACTACCCAATTATGTCTCAAAGATATCACACCTGTAATTACATCATATAATAGTGAGAATCCAATGAGTACTCAAACCAGGTGAGTTTTTAGTCGAGTTGATCTCTAAAAGAGGGTTCAGAGCTTTGAGTCAAGAAGGGTTCACTTCCCAGGGGTCGGAACATCGAGTCAAGGGGGTTTCACTTCTGGGGTTTAGAGTTTTGAGTCAAGAAGGGTTCACTTCCCAGGGGTCGGAACATCGAGTCAAGGGGGTTTCACTTCTGGGGTTTAGAGTTTTGAGTCAAGAAGGGTTCACTTCCCAGGGGTCGGAACATCGAGTCAAGAGGGTTTCACTTCTGGGGTTCAGAGCTTTGAGTCAAGAAGGGTTCACTTCCCAGGGGTCGGAGCTTCGAACCAATCATAATAATCCTTTAAGCTCATTCTTTTTTCACTGAGATTAATGCGATTATTCACAATGAAAGAATAAAGAAAATTTTCTATTCTCGAGGGAGTTGATGAACTAGTGGACATTCTTTTCTTCTTCTTCTTTGGGTTTTCTTCTTATTTCTATGTCTCATTCTTCTTTATCCTGCTCCAAGTCCTCTTCTTTATCACCTCCTTCCTTCCTTCTTTCCTTCCTTCACCTGTCCTTAATTACTTCCTTCTATTACCTATTCCCGGAACTAGACAAGGCTGTTACGGTGCCTTCCCCTCACCTCCTCCCTCTTCTCTCCCCTCCCCTCACGCCCTTCATTCCCCTCCCCTAACGCCCTTCTCCCCTCACTCACCTTTTCTTACTCCTGATCAATTTTCTCCCCTCCCCTACCTTTCCTTACTCCCCTCACCCCCTACTCCCCACACCTCTCCCTCTTCCCTTCATCTTTCCTTTCTCTTCCTCCCCATTTATACTTTCATCAAATTATATATATATATATATTCCTATTTCATTACATATTTCCTTTAATGCAGATAGATAGGTAGATAGACGAGAGAGAGAGAGAGAGAGAGAGAGAGAGAGAGAGAGAGAGAGAGAGAGAGGATGGAATGACGTAAAACAAGTAAAGGTAAGTATTGCAACACTGACTACCAGCAACCACCACTACTACAGACAAACATTCACCTGTACCCCCCTCCCTGGTACAGTAATAACAGGTACATTGTCTCATTACAAAAAGAAAGACATTAACATTATTTTTTTATCTGGAGTCAGTTCAATACTCCTCCTCCTCATCATCATCATCACCACCACCATCACCATCACCATCATCACCATCATTATACAAGGCCCCAACAATAAACTATTTTTTCCATACAACATTAATTGACTAAATTTTCCCCGGATCAATCGTGAGAGAGAAAGAAATCCCTGACATATTTCTCCACCTCACCAATGTAGAGACTGAGAGAAAATTTTACCTCACATGAAATACACAAGTTTTAATTGGTTCCCAGGGAGGGGTCAGATCCCACTCGGGGTTTCATTGGTTGTAAATGTTTTCTTCAGGTGAGGGTGAATTAATTAGTAGTGACGACAGGTGTGTGTGTGTGTGTGTGGGGGGGGTACATAGATTTAAATAGGTTAGGTGTTTAAATATGAGTGGCGAATATAGGACAGATTTTTCATTTACAAAGTTAATCGGACGTATTATAAAATTGGTACACACACACACACACACACACACACACACACACACACACATGCATGGCCTCACGTCACCACGAATATAATTAAGAAAAAACATCGAAAAAACCCAGAACAATTAGTGTTTTTTTTCCGGCCACATAATGACCGTTTCCGGGTGGTGATTAAAATACACATTATGTCACTGACTGTCTGTGTGTGTGAGAGGCTATCTACCCCCTCATTTTCCTTTAACCCCGCCTCCCCCATCACACCTCACTCACCTCCCTCCCCCTCACTCACCTCCTCCCCCATCACACCTCACTCACCCCTCCCTCCATCACCCTCACTCACCCCTCCCCTCCCCCCATCACACCTCCCCCCTCCCTCCCCATCACACCTCCCCTCTCTCACCCCTCCCTCCCCATCACACCTCACTCCCCCCTCCCCCCTACTCTCACCTAACCTTCTCTCACGTAGGAGTTTGACAAATTCACTCTCAATTCTCCTTCTAGATCACCTCACAGCTTTAAGCCGAGAATTATCCCCACCATTGAAGTTTATCACACACACACACACACACACACACACACACACACACACACACACACACACACACACACACACACACACACACATACACACACACACACACAACACACACAACACACACACATGAAAATATTACCGAGGATTTGTTTACAGGTGTGAGTTATGACTGTTCAGGTGTGTACTGTGACAATGTGTAGGTGCAATTAGTGTCAGGTATATATTGTTATAGGTATAATTGCAAATGTGTGGTGAGTCAGGTGTGCAGTTTCAGATGTAGGGGTCCGGATATCAGGTATGTGGGTCCGTATATCAGGTATGCAATTACAGGTAGGTGTGTGTGTGTGTGTGTGTGTGTGTGTGTGGAGGGTGGGGGTGGGAGGGGGGAGTCCAACAGTGTGTAGAGGAAGATAAACAAACCAATGTATACCATAGAATAGGGTTAGGTAGGTGGTGGAGGCAAGATCTCACCACCACCACCACCACCACTACCACCACCACCACCACCACCACCACCACCACCACCACCACCACCACCACCACCATCACCCACCACCACCACTTGACCCCGTCTCCCAAGTGCTGGCAAAGAGGATTGAACACGCGACCACCAGGGAGCGAGGGATGAGGGAGGGAGGAGGAGGAGGAGGAGGGAGGGAGGAGGAGGAGGAGGGAGGGAGCTAATGGGAGGGAGGACAGAAGAGGTAGGAAAGGAAGGAAGGGAAGGAGGTGAGGGGCGAGAGATAATAAAAGAAGGAAGGGTAGGAGGAAGGGAATAAGGAGAGGGAGAGGGAAATAATAAATGGAGGGAGGAAGGGAAAGAAAGGGAAGGAGGAAATAGAGATAAAAAAAGATAAAGATAAAAACTAAGAAAGAAAGAAAGAAAAAAGAAAGAAATAAGATAAGAATTTTGAGAGACTCCGGACGATAGGGGGAATGAAGGACACGAAAAGAATGACCGGATGAAAGGAGGAAGGGCAGGAAGGACGAGGGAGAAGAGGAGAGTGGAAGAGAGGAAAAAAGTGAGAGAGGAGAGAACATATGAAAGAGGAAAATGCTGTGAGTAGAGAGGATAAAGGGAAGCGAGAAGGGGAGGAAACAGGGAAGGAAATAGAGCGAAAGAAAGAGAAAAAGAGAGAGATAAACAAAGAATGGAAGAGAGAGAAAGACGAATAGGGGAACCAAGAAACTAAACAGTGAGAGAGAGAGAGAGAGAGAGAGAGAGAGAGAGACACTGACTATCCCCACCTCTATTCACTTGTCTTCTTCATTCTATATAACTTCTGAGGACATCTACACAATTTGTTTTTACCTACTAATTAATTGTTTCCGGCTAAGATAACCCCGACCCCCCCCCCTCCCAAATACATTATATATATATATATTTCCAAATTTTGCTTCTGTCTGTCTGTCTGCCTGTCTATCTGTCTGTCTGTCTGTCTGTCTGGCCCACGGTCTATTGCTTTACCATACTTAATGAAGGCAGCCCGGCAACAAACTCTGGACCTAAAGGCTATATCGGTCAAAGGTCACACACACACACACACACACACACACACACACACACACACACACACACACACACACTCAGCACCACCCTCACACACACACACACTCAGCACTACCCTCACACACCACCACCACACCATCACCATCACCACACACACACACACACACACACACACACACACACACACTCCAGCACTACCCTCACACACACCACCCACACCATCACCACACACACACACACACCATCACCACACACACACACACACACACACACACAGCTGTAGGAACATGCGTGTTATATTTGACCTATGACCTGTGACCTCTGCACGACATCT